AGCAAGAAGGGACACAGAAATTATCAAAGGCAAACTTGAAAAACTTGGTACTTTCACCCAGGGTCAGCCCTATTCATCTTCATTTGTACATTGACAAATAGTCTTGTAACAAAAGTTCACGGCATCCTGAGTCCTTTTTTTTCATCCTGGGTGGCCACACAGACTTACTGTAGCGGGACCTGAGGTTATTAAGGTTGGACCAAGTGTTAAGGCAAACATGCTCAATTTTGGCATTCCTTATTTTATCTGGGTGGTTTACTTCCATGAAGCAAATTTTTCCACCTGGAAACTAAGTATGGAAGTAACCTCTTCTGATTCCCACCTCAAGATCTTATATAATAAAAGAATGTATAGAACAGACAAAGAAAAATCTATCACCCCGAGGTATTTGATTTGAAATTTTTATAGTATAAGGCTATACCAAAGGAAGTGCATAGAATGCCTTATTAATTATGTACACTTAGGGAAAGGGTTAGCCTGAAAATAAGCAATCTACATATCAGAATGCTTTAAGTTATATGCAACATACCTTGAAATTAATATAAATAATACACTAACTCAACATTTCCAAAAGTTCTTTGATGGTTATACTCTCCAGTTTGAAGCTATAAGAATCACTGTTAAAAACACAGATTCCTAAGCTCCATCCTGTGCTCCATTTCAGAATCCCCAGGGAATGAGCCTGGGAAAGCATTCTGGTGATTCATTTCTTATGAAACTTGGAAACAATTGCTTGAACTTTTTTTAGAACCACGTGGGGTCTATGATGAAATACACATGCCTGGGCCCCAACACAGACAGACTAAATCAATTACTCTTCAAGTGGGCCCCAGAATTGATCCTTTTAGCAGCCTCCTCTAGAAAATTTTTTGTCCAGGAAAGTTTGAAAACCATTGCTCTCTTTAACATTTTGCAGTAGGGCAAAGTTGGACTTGCTTTATTAAATGCTAAGGAACTCATTATGAGAACATTAAGTGAAGGCAAATAATGTTTATTAAAATAACATATTATTGCTTTTTTTCAAATAAGTTATGTATTTATTCTTTTTAATATCCCATCAAATTACTTAGTAAGCTTTTCATAAACAATGCAAGGGAAAACGTCAAAGCCATTTATATTTTTTTATGACTTATAAACTGTTAATGAAAATAACTGAAGTTTATTATCCAAACACTAAATACATTGTATTTTATATATTTTCTAAAGTTAGTCAAATTTCCCTACAAAATATTCAGATAAAAATAGTACATATACAGCTGCCTGTTTTACTTTTTGATTTTTATCTCAAATTAAGACATTATTTCTAGCCCATTAATAAGTTTTTGGTTTTATTATATTTCATTTATTCATAATTTTATACTTGTATTTTTCTTATCTAATATTTCTTCTGACATTTTACATTTTTCCTGTATTTCAATTCTTTATTTTTTTCCACAATTATTCTTTAATTTTTATGGTTTAACACTTTTCTCTTTTAAACTTGCTTCTGATTTTTATTTTTAAAAATTAGATCTATTTTGGGGCCGGCCTGGTGGCGCAAGCGCTTAAGTGCGCCCACTCCGCTGCCGCGGCCCGGGGTTCACAGGTTCGGATCCCGGGTGCGCACTGACGCACAGCTTGTCAAGCCATGCTGTGGCAGCGTCCCATATAAAGTAGAGGAAGATGGGCATGGATGTTAGCCCCGGGCCAGTCTTCCTCAGCAAAAAAAAACAGAGGAGGATTGGCAGATGTTAGCTCAGAGCCGATCTTTCTCCCCCCCCCAAAAAAAAATTAGATCTATTTTGTGTATATTCATTATTATTTGTGTCTCTCTTCCTTTATTGTTGAAAGACATAGAAGCTTCCTTTCCTTGAAGTTTCAAAACCAAAGAACATCTACTTACAGTGAAGCAGGAAGGCTTGGAACCTTTTAGAATTTGCTTATTTTATCCATTTGTTTTGCTTTTACTTATAGAAATTGTCATTTTTACTCCCACCTTAATCAAGATTACATATTGGGAGGCTGTGACTAGACAACTCTACTCCTTTCAACATTGGAAAGGTCTGTCAAATTCTTTATATAGCTAATTAGCACCAGTAGAAGAAAATCCATCTGCCTTCGCCTCTGTGAGCTGGCCTTACTAGGAGGTATATTAGAAGATTATAAGATATCCATGTTATAAATGTCCTGGTAAAATGCAGGATCCTACCTATATCCTTCTGATATCTTTTAATGGTATGGTCCATGAACCATGTTTATCATTTTACCATTAGAAAACTGGTAGTAATAAAAATAAATGAAACTAATTCTATTTGTTGCTGTGCATTAACATATACTTTTATCATATATTGAATGCCTTCCACATTTACGAAAATATATTTAGCAATATAGGATACGTAAACATGAGTAAGGTTTGATCGACCTGCAGAGGCTTGTAGACTAGAAGGAGAAATAAGATATAAAGTGATGTAGCAAAGTGGAAAATGATGCAGGTCATAAGAAAAATAATTTAGGAACTTACTTTGGGAGATGAGAAAAGGCAAAGCTTTGAGGCATCAGGGCAGGCTTCATACAAAAAGTTGGCATTTGAGCAGAGAATGGGTGGGGTTGGGGAATGGATTGGGAGCAGCTGGAGGCTTTCCAGGCAGAGAACAGTGAGAAAAGACAGGGAGAAATGTAGGAGGTGGCAGATAGTTCAGAGGACAGGGTGATATGGGAGAAATAGCAATGCACGTAACTTAATTGGAAATTAGGAGGCACCTAATTGATGAGGAGAGAATGACATATTGAGTGCTCCTTAATAGCACTTGTTGAGCTCTTACTATGTACCAGGCACTTAGCTAAGCGCTTTTTATGCCTTATACAATGTGATCCTCACAATAATAGTGTGAAACTAGTGTTAAGTATTATCCCATCTCCCAGATAAGGAAAAGGATTAGAGAAGTGAAATGACCAACAAGGCTGAGTCATGAAGTGAACGGCCTCCCTGACCCCGACGGTGAAGTGCATTTACTGCCTGAGGGATGTTAGCCTGACTGCAGGGTGGAAGGCACAGTAGAGGAAGCTGGAAATGGAAGGTGGAACACCGTCTGCAGACTACGGTGTTTTAAAAGCCAAAGAAAAAGACCATGAGGGCCTGCCTAAAGTGCTGGCGAGCCGATTGGGGGAAAAACAGATTGTTTGATCGTTATTAGATTGTCCCTAAAAAGCATCAAATGTCTGTCTAAATTAAAGTCCCTTATTACATCTGTCACAGCATGCTCTCAATTTCTTTGTGGCAGTATCTGGAGTGTAATTATTCATTTGTGTGGCTGTCTGTTTAACATCTCTCTCCATCTCTAGGCAGTAAGGTCCACGCTTACAGGGGCTACGCTTGTTAAACCCAACACTCTATCCATCTACGGTAAATATTTACTGAGTTTAAGAATGGATGGTGGATAAATAAATGGAGAATAATGACTTCAAGAACTCAGATAGAAAATTGAGTGGATGGGTTTGGAGTGATGAGGAGAACAGGGGAAGGGAGAAATTTTTAAAAAACTATTTCAAGATATGGAGGCTCAGGGATTGTGCATTGAATAAAACAAGAAGGCCAGAAAAAGGAACTCACTAAAAGAAAATGATGCATGATGTTTTCATTTTAAGGCTATATTTCACAGTATTTGCCAATAAGCTCAATTAGTTCAGTAGACTTTATTTTTAATTCTGCCCTCTTTTTAATATTTAGTTTGTTCCTTTTGACAACTTTTTTTTATATTTCATATAACTGAGTCAAACTAATAGGTCTATTTTTTTCCTTTTTCTGTTTAATTGATAATATTTAAACAAAATTGGCCACGATTACACCTTATATAACTGTGACCTTGGATAACCACTGGCTATATAGCTCATCAACCTTTTAGTTCTTTGGTCATTTCTTTCTTTTTTTCTTTAATTAAACTAATTTGCAGGAGAGTCCTCTTAATTCTGGGGGAATAAATAGTTAGGTTCACAAATTTTTGAAGCAAATTCTTAGCCACCATGATTAATGCTCAAAAGAAGTTGTCTAAACCTCTGGCTCTTTATTCACCTTAACAGATAGATAGCAGTAACCAAAAATCAGTCTTATTAATATCTCTAACTTGAAACGAGTTTCTCATTCTCATCAGAATAAAATAAATCCCCTTTAAAAATTCATGAAAAAAATCATTCCGAATCAATAAGCAAACTAAAAAAGACCAAGGATATGAGAGTTTTGAATTGTGCTACATATGTTGACATGGGAATAATAACAGTGGAAGGATTGGCAGAAAATTTACAGGACTAAGTCTGGCTCTAAGATTATTTTCAGTGTGTTCTTATCCTGTCTACAAATAAGAAATTAACATAGAACAGTTCCAAATTGAGAAATTAGGAAAATTTTTGCCACATTTAGAGAATATTTCTTTACAGAATTAGCTATTTCCCACCTACCCTTTCCTTGTTCATATCTCAAGATTTGCAATTTACACCCTATAAAATATACATTGCTCTTTAGTTTGTAAAATAAAAACCTAAGCTTTAAACTCAATGATTATGCCTTAAAAAATGATAGGAGAGGTAGCACAGTTAAACAAAATAATAAATTGCAACTCAAACAAAAATTATCTTGCTATTCCTTACCAATAAATACAGTACTTGTCTACATCCAATAATTCTGAAAAATTTTCCCCAAGGAAAAGAAGCATAACAATCTGAAATTCAAGAAATGTCTCACACAGAAATGAAAAATGATTTCAGTGCTGTGTGGTTAGAGAATTGCCTCTCAGCAACTTATAATGTGCTTAGGACTTAACTGCTTCATAATTTGATACCTTCAATAAAAATAATAATTGTGATTATAATATCTGAAATATGAACAGCACATAGAACTCATCAAAAACCCTAAAAGCAACAAAACTCATACTATTTTGTTTCACTCATGCATACACTTTTGAAAAAGAGGCATCCCAAAGCTTCATATTTATTTTTCTAAAATCATGTTAATTTCTTATTTATTTCAGGCATTACTAGAGACTCAAAATTTACTGCGCACTCAGGTTGCAAATTTTACCTTCAACCTTGGATTTTCAGGGAAGTTTTACCACACAGGTAAGAAGGAGCTTTGTGTTCTCAGGCAGCTACATATAAATAGGAGAGAGGATTTTAAATGTTTCATAAGTAGGAGAAATAGAATATCCAGACTGATTATGGGGAAGACTTGGTTGCATTATATATATGAGTTAGCCAAATCCAAGATCAACGAGCTTGTTTACTTTGGCAAATACTTTTATAATCAAGGGCAAAAGAGGAAGAGAATTGACTTTGTCAACTCAGAAAAAGAAACCGTAACCATTGTTCTAAGCATGACTGTGCATCTTGTCGCTCAGCGTAGTCAAAGTAGAAAGCATAGTGATGACGATGATGATGATGATGACAATGACACTATAATAATAATAATGGACAGCATTTTAAAATTTTAGGATAGTCATGGTGACAGACATTTTTGTACATATTATATTCTTTTGGAAAAGATCTGGTGATGAGACAGGAATTTTATAGCCTCAAAAATTTAATAAACTTTAAGGGTCATCTTGCTTAATTTGCCTTCCCTTGCAGAATTTTTCCCTAAAAATATTACAGTAATTTGGCCCAACATGCATTAAAACCATCGCAGTCAGACTTGTATTTCTTTCCATCTCTAACCGGCCACAGTTGCACTTCTGTTCAGTCTCAGCCTCTCAACAGATTCTCCAAGTGTGGTTGGTGTTCATGTACTACTCTATGTTATGATATTTCTCACCTCTTTACCCAACTTCACCTCTAGAATTTGACTCCTTTTTTCTTTGAATATCAGCATTATAATGTCTGGCACTAGTATAAAGAAAATTATGAGCATAAAAGTGATTGTCTTATTATAGTGACAAAAAAATAGCACAAAACGGTATGTTAGAGCCTGTATTCGGACAATGCCTACTATCTGCTCTTATTTCTGCATCTGTGGTGAAGGCTAAATGCTTTGTTTAGGACTTTGCACTGTTGTCGCTTCATAGTGTCTTAGTGAAAACATTTCATAGTATTCTCTATGCATGCAGCTTATTGACTCATTAAAAATATCCCATGCAAAGGCAGTCTTGAATTATCGTAAATGAAGTTCGTTTACCCAAAGAGGCTTTTTAATGTTTACCCTAAGAGGCTCAGCATCGTTTATTAGAACCTGGAAGCAGCAATGTCTTATAGGTTTTTTTTTTTACTTTTTCCCTCTTGCTTTGAAACATGTAAATCTGTTTAAAGTAATAGAAGGAAAATTAGTATTTAGACCAGTTGATAAATCAAATGACTACATATTTTAAAACGACATTTTGCAGAAGGAGATTTGGGTCATCATATCCACACAGGCAAAGCGATTCCAGCTTACAATTTTGAAAATAGACATGGTTTTGTAAATCTTCTTCAAAAGCCCCCTCCAGAAATGAATTCAGGCCTAAGAAGCTCGGACTATGAAGTTATAAAGCAGATAACTCTAAAGGCTGTATCTACTCATGAAGGGAAAAAAATATGCAATTATTTGGAGTTCACATGCAAACAATACTGTTTTGTCTTAAATAGCTGTATAGCGTAAGCAAAGCCATTCTTTTGGCTGAAATATATCTGGATAATTGCCTCAGCTTTGATTTACTTTTCATATTCAGACCTATTAAAATTGCCAGACATTCGCAGAGTTAATGTTGATAGCAGGTTATAATACTTCTCATTTATTTTTTAAAATCTTGAACATGTACACAGTACACATCCACCAGGAAATGAACAACACACTAGTTAATATCACACTACTTAATATAATTGTTGGAGGAAGATACCAAAACAAAAAAAGACATTTTAATTTTACCTCTTAAACAGACCTTATTGACTCTTTAGATACTAACCTAACAAACATAATGGAAGAAACACTCTATTCTGTTATGCTGTGGTGATAGTGCACTTTAGAGATTAAGCAATATATATATAAATTTGTAAGTCCTAAAAGTTTAATTTCCTTCACATAAATATGAAACTTCAGTTGATTTGCTACTTTGTGTGTAGAATCATTGAGATGCATCCATCACGTATTTCCAGGGTGCAATCATATTATATTGAGTACTTATTAATTCACTCGATGATATCAAGGTCTCTTCCAGAGTGGAATTAAACATTGATGCCCACTCTTGGGAGAGCATGCCTCTTCCCTGTCTAGTCACATTCCTATATGGAGGTTTAACTGTATAGAAAAACGATCGCAAATCAGGGAAGTGCTTTCCTTACACGTGCATTTTGGCTGTGATGTGTGACCATGAGAAGACGGCCTTGTCACAATGACTGTCTCAGTTCTCTCCCAGGATGATCTGATTTCCCAATGCATGAGGATGCTGATTGATGACCCTCATTGTTTTGAAGACATTTAATCACACATGCCCAGTGTAATAATGATAGATTCTGCATTTCTCAGACTGCTTCTCTCATTTGTATTTCCCAAGTACTTTCCTGTTCAGTTTCTCTGCCCTTCATGCGGAAAATCTCACCCCAAAAGGGCATATCACTAAGCCTTCCCTAAAAGTCAGTCATTCACAGGTGCCAGATTGAAAGAGGAGAGAGATACTGCTGATTAAAAGGGAAAAAAAAGCATGGAGTTAGCAGTAAAATATTTTAGTCTGGAAATATTTAAAGCTTGATTGGAATAGCACAATGTAAGTTCAATTGTAAAAGGAAGACATTACGGCATTAAGATGCCTTCTAGGGATGAAAGGGCTGCAAATATTTCTATAGGATATGATTTTTGGTGATAATCATTTCCATTCTTTGTAATTAAAAATCAATTGAATATGACTTGATCAATACGCTCATGGATAATATTTGCAAATTGGATAAATATTGGTCTTTTCCATGAGAGTTCATTTTACAAAAAATAGATCTTTATATAAATCAAACATGAAAGTAAAAAAAAAGTGTTACATTCGTTCCCTTTTGTTTGTTTTGTGTTTTTTGCTTTTCTGTGTAAAGCATTGGTTCAAAGACTAGACATTGGAAACAGACTGCTTTTTTCTGAATCCAGGCTCTGACATTTCACTAGCTATGTGAATATAAACAGGTTACTTAACCTTTTGTGCCTCAGTTTCCACATCTCCAGAATGGGAGTAATAATAATACTACCTTGCTCATCTCGAACAGTGTATAGCATGTTGTAAGTGCTATATAAGTGTTTATTATTATTATTTCTTTAAAAAGTATTTTTGTATAAGACTAAAATATTGTCAAAAAAGTGAACAGTGAACAATTCACATGGCTCTATTTTCTAATTTTAGAATTATAGGTAGCTTTTAATCAATTTCCATCACCAAACATTTCTGTTTAGTATAATATTTAAAATTAGTTTATTCTATACCCACTTTTATGGAACTGTGCCAGGTTCAGTATACAAAGAAAATCAGAAACATCTTCTTACCATTTAGAAGTAACAATATTTCATACATAAATAGCAAATACAAGGCAGACATTTGTACAAAAGGGATAATGCAGGCATTGGAACTTGACGTATCTTATTTCACTGTTACAGCTGTGCCTTATAGGAATTAACCTATAGCCAGATCTTGCTAAAATTATTCTTATCTTAGCAGACTTAAAGTACTTTTAGAAGCATACTATTATCTCATAACACAGATCCTCCAAAAGTGGCAACAAAGAAATGAACTCTAAAATACTTTACTTCTAAATTAAAACACTTTTTAATCTCTGAGAATCAGAAAAAGTAAAAGTACATAACTTTTAAATAAGAACAAAAGAAGTATTTTTAATTAATAATGATGTAAATTTGAATCTAGATCAAGTTAGAAGTAAAAGGTTCAATTGAACACAGACATTTTAAGAGTCTGAGGTCATGTGTGAACTGCAAATTATATTCTTACATATAATTTAAGCGTAAATTAGGCATAGAAAATGTGTGTTTACGGTGAGTCAAAAATGTAATATTTTCATTTAGTTGGATTTGAAAACATTTGAAATTCTGCTTTGGTCCCTCAGCATGACTTGGTATCATATTTTTCATTAAGCTATTTCTAATCTCACGAGTTTGCCTTATGTGGCTTTGAATTATATGACCTGCATAAAATAATAGAAAGGCTGACGGGATATTAATCCATGAAGTGAAAAAAAGCAGGTGTTAAATATGACTCTTAAGCTTGTGCGGAGTGTTTATAAATTAACGCACTCTGATATAAGCATTACTAAGATTTTACGATCAGTCATGCATCTGTTTATATCAACAGTGTGCAAAATTTTCTTAAAATTGAGTAATTGATCTCCTTCCCGGTCAAGTATGCATTATGTGCTTCCTGCCACTTGCAATAACAATCAGTGGAGTTTAAAGTGAATGGAAGTGTTTCTCAAACATTCTATATTCAAAGCACAACAGAATGGTGGGAGGACTATCAATTCATTCATCGCATGTGACATAAAGTAACTCTTTCTAACCTATGCCTCAGTTGGCTGAATTATGGCCATTCTCAGCACTCAGTCTATAGCATAAACACATCATGCTTAAAATCCATCTGAGGAAGTAATAAACTTCTCTTCATTTGGATTTCAGTATTTGATATTCTTAATATATTAACAAACGTCAGTGAAGTGTAAGTCTGTAGTACTAACAATTTTAGCTAAAATTAACAAAAATTAAGAATTTTGTCTGCTCATCTTATTCACAGGACTTTATCCTTTTCAAAACTTCTATTTCTTTACTCTTTGTATCGTATCAACTGTTATAGTAGTAACAGTGCCAAAACTCTAATTAAACCTGGTGATGCTTACACCTTTTAAGAACTATAGATTATGGTCTGTATTCCAGGAATAATGCATATACATAAATACAAACAAAAGTTGGCAGCATGCACTTCAGCAGACATATGAAGGCTCTAAAGTTCACTGACTTTATGTTAATACAGACTGAAGTAAATTATTCACTTATTCATTGCTCCGGGGAAGTGGCATGATACACTGTAAGGTAAAGGGATCCAGTCCCTGACTTTAAGAAATTAATAATCTAAGCAGGCAATATTTTTAAGAATGTGTGAAAATATGTAAATTTAGAACATCACAGTTATAAACCAGTAGATATTATTTGAATAAGAAAATTATCCAAATATTTATTATAATAAATATAAATAATATTATTAATTATTATTTATTAATAACAATTATAAATATTATTATTAATATTTATTAGGATATTATCCTAATATCCTAAGTGCTTGCGATCTACAAGTCCCAATATTAAGTGCTTTAATACATTGATCTCATTGACTCTTCACAAAGAGACTGTGAGATAGGTATTTATATCCCCATTTTAAACCTGGAAACCTTAGAGAAGTCTTAGAGAAGTTAACTTGTCCAAGATCACATAGTCAAATAAATGACAGAAGTAAGGACTTTAATCCAGGTATTGATTGACACCAAATATATGCTTTAACCATTTCATGGCACTACTGCATGATCAACGGAATCTTTACTATAGGACACACAAGTGGAGTACTTGGAGAAGACTCTTAAAAAAAGACCTTTAGTGTTTATTTGTTTAAGTAAAGAATATAAAATCAAGAGCCATCTATAAAACATACTCTGTTTTGAAAAAATAAGCCAAATAAATACACCTCACACTAAAACCAGGATTTATTTTACTTTTTTAGTCAAGTATCTAGAGACCAAATAGTAATTAATTCTTATATTATCCATTCAGGACATGTTTAAGTTGGACTGGATATTGTAAAATTATATGAAAACTATGATTTCATACAGTGAAAACACTCTTGGATAGCTGTGACATAGTGAATTCCCTGAGAAGTAAATTGTTCTTGTTGTTTTTCTTTTTTTCTCACTTGTGGCATGACAAATGGTTTTTTATATGCATTGGAAACTGTTAACAAATTTTCCTAATGGGGGATGAGAAATTAATATTAGTTTTAAATTCTCAGGTCAAGTTTTTATTGTTAAAAGATTCATTGTTTAAATTTTATGAAATATTTGTATCAAAGTGGGAAATGTTTATGTTTATAATGTTAAGTTAAAAAGGCAAAGCACAACATTATTTACACAATAAGAGCTCAATTTTTAAAAAAATAAGTAGGAAAAGATTTTTTTGTGTGCGTGTGAGGAAGATCAGCCCTGAGCTAACATGCCAATCCTCCTCTTTTTGCTGAGGAAGACTGGCCCTGGGCTAACATCTGTGCCCATCTTCCTCCACTTTATATGGGACGCCACCACAGCATGGCCTGACGAGCGATGCGTCGGTGTGCGCCCGGGATCTGAACCCAGGCAGCTAGCAGCAGAGCGCACCCACTTAACCGCTATGCCACGGGGCTGGCCCCAATAGAAAAAGATTTAAAGAAAGATATCAAAATATTTCGACCAATTAGTTCTGGAAGATAGTTTTTGTTTTGTTTTGAGCTTTATATATCACTTGTCTGTGCTGTCCACATTTCTTCAATAAGCATATATTATTTTTGTAATCAGAAAAAAACTAACAAATTTCATCAGTTAAATTTTAAGCTCAATTTTAGACATATATGCAAGAATATTTTTAGGAGTAAAAAGAATCATCATCCCTGATCGGATTTCCCCTACGCATACAACAAAGGAGGGAATTATTGGTTGATAATTTTAAAACAAAAATAAACCATCTAAAACTAGGTCTGTTTTTTATTACCACCATATGCTAGCAATTTGAAGCAATGTCAGTGATAAAATACCCTTAAATTCTAAATTAAACAACTATCTGCACCTGGGGCCACCACACCGACCCCACCCCATCCCAACCCTCAACTCCATTTCCTCTAATATAATTTAGACTATGGTCATTTTTTTAATTAAAATAACACAAAATTGAATTTATGTGTCAGCAGTAAGAAGAATAACAAAAATCTGACAAACATAACCTTTAAGCTAATATAAAATTTTCACTTAAGCCATTTTTAACTTTATGTTTTACAGGAACTGAAGAGGAAGATGAAGGAGATGACCTTTTGCTTCGGTCTGTGGATGAGTTCTGGTGGTTTCCTCACATGTGGAGCCACATGCAGCCCCACCTCTTCCATAACGAATCCTCTTTGGTGGAGCAGATGATTCTCAACAAGGAATTTGCACTGGTAAGCACATTTTATTGCAGTACTTTTCAAACTATGAGTTGTGATCCATTAGTAGATTGTAAAATCAACTTATTGGGTTGAATCCAACAGAAATAGAATAGAACAGAAAATATCAGAGTGTATCACATGTATTAAGGGTACATCTTGCTTTGTGTTCTTTTGTTTCCCCACATGTGTGTGTGTATGTATTGGGCCATGATGTGATATATAACATGTATTTCAAAAAGTAGGTCATTGTCAGAAAATTGCCATCTCTTGTTTTATGGAAGGGTTATTCTTGCATTTATGGAGAGGCAAAATAGTTATTTTCTCCATTGTATTCCTGATGCATTATAATTACCCTCTCAAGAAGCTTTTGTTGCACGGATGAATGAATTTAATCATTATTAGAGTAACAAATACGTCACAGGAGTGTTTCGAGGGTGTGTATAACATGCTTAGAGCAGCCCCTGGCATACAGTAAGCACTCAGTAGGTGTTAATTAACAATTACGATCTTTCTAAATCCAGACAAGTATGCAGTTATATCTTGCTTTAAAAAAGTCAAATATTTTTTTTTAAATATAGATTTATAAGAGGCTGATCTTCACTTAACTTTTAGGGAATGTCTAATAAATTTTGTACTACTTCAGAGCATTGTAAAATTAAGTACATATTCCCTTTTTAAAAATTAAACTTACCTTGAGTAAGCATGCTAAATTCTCTCTGTGTGGTTACCCTGAAAATAAACCGTGTTTATCATTTGGCTTAAACCTCCCTCACCTCACTCCCACTCTGAAGGCTTGTTTTTTGGGCATGTAGGTTACATTTCATAATGGTTGATTTCACCTGTTTGTGTAATTTCTTTTTTAAAAGCCACGCTGAGAGCCCTGGGAAAGACTCAGATGTAATTGCTTTGTAATGAAATGTTGAAAGCTATTGAGAGCCCATTCAGAACAATTACATTTGCTTAGTCAGTGTGGGTAGAAGCTAGACTGAAGTCTATAAATATATTTGGTAAAAAAAAAAAAAATCTTATTATATGTTGCATAGTCAAAATATTACAACTAAAATGAAGTCCATTAAACACACATACTGAAATGACATTGTCTTTTTCCTTCTGGAGTTCACCTCAATAAAACTTCTCAGGACTCTTCAGGAGGTGACATTCAGAACCCCACCTTTAACTGTAAGCATAGGAAGACAATATATGTGTTGTGCAGAGAACCAGGAAAGGTGTTTCCTTCTTAATAAATTATTATTTTTCCATATCTAGATGACACCAGATGTATCAACAGTATCAAGATGGGATAGAATAGTAGAAAGCACTAAATGAGATATTGGCAGGATAAATTTTATCCTGACTGCTAGTAACAAGTTCTAATACAGTTAGACAGCTCATTTAATGTCTTCATGCCTCGATTTCCTCCCCTGAAATGGTAATGATTCCCTTTTTCATTCTCTAAACTACAAACTTTTTAGATAATTAATTTATATCAGCTCATCTGCCAACCAAAAGCAATGGACCAGATAATCCACTGATCAATTCCGCTTCTAAAATTCTGTGATAGTTGACAACATCGGTCCACAAATTTGGAATGAACATCTTGAAATACTCATCTAGCTGCAATTGAAGCAATTATGGAAAGAGATTTTCAATCTAAATGAACAATTTATACTGAAAGAAATCAAGTGTTTAAATTTCTTTTTTTATTCCATCCTGACATTCCTGACCATTCCTTGGTATGACCTTGGCTGGCAAGGGATCATTAGGGAAAAGCACAGTTGTTCTCAGAACATTTACAAAAATGATTCAAATGACGTATTAATAGCTTCCTATTGATATTTCAAAAATAGTTAATCAATCAAAATGATTTTATTTGTAGAATTTCTCTGAAGTCTCTCTGGATAGAATTCATTTTCTGTTGTAACATGTCTAAAAATCATGAGAGAAGCACATTGGAAACTGTTTCTTTACTGTTTCATCATGTTAGAAGAACCTTTATTACTGTAAAGCGTTGTCATTTCTTAATCCGTACACACTTATGTATGCAGTGTGAATGTACGTGTGTATGTGTACATGCTTAATCCATGAGTACATGTGTATGCAGTGTGAGTGTGTTTGTGTGTACATATATATGTGTATGCATGCCTAATCTATGAACATATATGCCACGTGAAGTTGTGCACGTGTGTGTGTGTTTGTGTAGAGGGTGTTAGTCGAGTGATAAGCACAGTCAACCAAGATAGCGTAATTACAAGATACTATATTTACATGGCAGTAGCAAAAATATTTTTTGATTGTCTTTCTTTTAATAAACCATACATTTTTGCTGCCATTCAGTGGCTTGAGCACGTCACTAAGTAGACTCAACACTTCAGACAATAGACTAACAAAGGCTAAAGAGAACGAGAAACTTTGGCTAACATTAAAGAGCTTGATGAAAAAGTTACCAAAAATTGCTCCTGACGTAACCCACATGTCCTTTTCAAACCTCGAGAGAAGAGTGCCCATAGAATAAACCTGAGTTATTTATGTTTCTTCCACAATAGATTTGTGGAGAAAAAAAGAAATTAAGAATTACTGTTTTGTTGTTTTGTTTTGCATACAGATTCATTAAAATTTCCAAATGAGTGGGGCCTTTCAGTTCACTCATAGTAACAGACCCTAAAATACCCTGGAGGGAAAAAGATCACTTTTTGTCTTCAACGCTAACTTTTCAGTAATGATGTGAGTCTTTCTTGACATTTTATTGAACAGTCGTGTATCTTATTCATGAGTAAATAAGTGAAGGATTCTTGAAATAAAGGCGTAAGTTTTTAAATTTTGCTTTTAAAATGCTACACATATTTATTAACTCTATGTAACTTTTTTTCATAATTAGACACAACATTCCTGATATGAAAAATGCTAACATTTAAATTGTTCTCATAAAAACCCAAATTTGTCAAAAGAGCAACTATGGAAAATCATTAAGTGTCATAAGGGCCTGCACACTAAATCAGCTATGTAGAGGTTTTAATTAAAAGATAAAGGAGTGTGATAGTGGAATTAATGGCACAATGAAATAAAACTGAGAGCGAGAGGCCTCTCAGTAGCTGATGTGCCTACGTCTTTGCTAAATTATGCAGTATACAGCCTTGGCTGTACAACAAATACAAGATGTCAAGAAACCTTGATAATTACAATAGGCTATTTCAAAGATAGAAATTTAGAGAAGATAAGAATATTTAATCAAAAGTAAAATTATGACTAAATATTGATTTAAAGAGTTTACTATGGAGCAAATAACGTATTTTGAAGGTTCAATAATGAATAGGGCAGTCTGTACCTTCAGCAGAGTGGACACTTATATGAGCATGAAGAATTTAGATAAAATATAAAGAAAGAAAACATCCTGGCATAGAAAAATTTGAAACATATTTGGCAGTTGCATGAGCTCTTGAGGGATCCTGTGGAATACAAACGTATGTAGTACAAATATCTATGTAAATTACTTCAGTAATTGAGTGCATTCGTTATGTATTGCTACATAACAAAGTAACCCAAAATTTAATGACAATGCATTAATATCTAACAGTTTATGTAGATGAGAAAGTCAAATACGACTTAATTGGATCCCGTGGTTCAGGATCTCTCACAAGACGTCAGTCAAGGTGTCAGCTGAGGCGGCAGTCATTTCAAGGCTCACCTGGAGGGTGGACCAGCTCTCAAGCTCACTCACAGGGTTAAAAATATTGGATTGATCTGACACTTCTTTTTCTCTCATCCAATCCGTTGCCTCCACTTGAAAATGTATTTAGAACTGATGAATTCTCACCACCCCTACTGCTATCTACTTAGCCTAAGTTACTATTGTATCCTTTTTAGCAGCTTCATTGATATTGATATTAATATATCATACAATTCACCCGTATAAAGTGTAAACTTCAATGGTTTTTAGTGTATTCACAGATTTGTGCAAAGTTCACCACATCAATTTCAGAACATTTTTATCACCTCAAATAGAAAGCCTGTACCATCAGTAGTCACTCCTCTTTTCTCCCAACTCCCCCAATCTTAAGAAATCACTAATTTACTTTCTATCTCTATAGATTTGCCTATTCTGAACATTTGATATAAGTGGAATCATACAATATCTTTTATGATTAGTTTTTTTTTTTTACTTAGTGTTTTCAAGGTTCATATATGTTGTAGCATGTATCAGTACTTCATTCCTTTTTATTGCCAAATAATATTCCATTGTATGGTTATGTATTTATTCATTCATCAGTTAATAGATATGTTTATACTTTTTGGCTGTTATTTATAATGCTGCTATGAACATGCGTGTACCAGTTTTTGTGTGGACATATGTTTTCATTTATCTTTAGTATCTACCCAGGGGTGGGATGCTTGGGTCATGTGATATCTCTATGTTTAACATTTTGAGAAACTACCAGACTGTTTCTAAAGAGCTTCGCCATTTTACATTCCTACCAGCAATGCATGAGGGTTTCAGTTACTCCATATCATTGCCAATCCAGTTACTGTCTGTTTTTTTTTTTTTATTTCATTATAGCCATCCTAGTAGGTGTGAAGTGGTATCTCATTATGGTTGTGATTTGCATTTCCCAAATGGCTAATGACGTTGAGCATCTTTTCATATGATTATCAGCCATTCATATATCTTCATTGGAGAAATATCAATTAAGATTCTTTACCCAATTTTTAATTGAATTAGTGGTATTTTTTTTTTTTTTTTTGGCTGAGGAAGATTCGCCCTGAGCTAACATCTATTGCCAACCTTCCTCTATTTCGTTTGTAGGTTGCCACCACAGCATGGCCACTGACTAGTGGTGTGGGTCCGCGCCAGGAACCAAACCTGGGCTGCCACAGCGGAGCTCACCGAACTTAATCACTAGACCACTGGGCCAGCCTGGAATTAGTGGTCTTTTTATTATTTATTTTTTGCAAGAGTTCTTTGTGTATTTTTCATACACGTACTTTGTCAGATCTATGAATTCAAATATTCTCTCTCA